GTTGTCACACTCAGTACTTGACCTCAAGAATGCTTTTGGAGAAGTTCATCATAACTTAATCCAAGCTGTCCTTGGCTATCATTACATCCTTAATCACATGAATAATTTAACAAAAAGCTTATACACTGATTTTAAAACTTCCGTAATTACTTCTGAGTTCCGTTGCAAGGTGACTGTCTTAGTCTTCTACTATTTAATACGTGTTTCAACACATATATTCAACATATCAAAGCTGAAAAGTACCGTCAGTCCGGTTTCTCCCTCCAACTCCTTAATCCAATTCACTGGTTTCAGTTTGCCCATGATGCTGCGGTTATTTCTGGTCAAGAGTCGGGAAATCAGCATCTACTTAATCGATTCTCTATCTAGTGCCAATGGTGCAACATGGTTGTTAGAGTTGATAAATGCAGTACATTTGGCATCAAAAAAGTGTTATCAAAATCTGCCCAGTACCTGCCAAAGCTTTTAATCAATAAGGTTCTCATACCAATTATTAAAACGGGAGAATCATTTGAGTATTTGGGACGATACTTTGACTTTAACATGACTAATCAAAAACATAAATCTAAACTGATCTCCCTCATTGATGAACTAATGTCTGAAATAGATTTTAAGCCTGTATATAGATCTGAAATAGATTTGAAATAGATATGAAATAGATCTGATTTGAAATAGATTTATCTGATTTGAAATAGATAGATCTGATTTGAAATAGATTTGAAATAGATCTGATTTTAAATAGATCTGAAATAGATTTTAAGCCTCTTCACCCAAAAAACAAAATTTTACTTTACAGTCGTTATGTTTTGTCGAAACCATCCTGCCATTTTACTGTTGCTACGATATCTAAAACTTGGGTAATCGAAAATGTGGATTCTCTGGTAACAAGTACGTCCGAAAATGGCTGGTAATACCTATATCTGGAACACTAAGTAAGGTTTTTCTAACCCGTAATACTGTAAGTTTGGTCTAAATATCTTCCCTGCATCCGTTAAATTTATTCGGTGTCAAACAGTTCTACGCAATGCCCAAAAAACATAAATATTCCACGTAAGTCACTCAAGAAAAACAATTCGCCTCCCTGGTTCGACGATGAAATAAAACACATTATTAATAAGAAGAAATTTTGCAGAAAAAGGGCGAAACAGTCGCTGAATCCAAGTACATGGGAAAAGTTTCGAACTCTAAGGCGTCAAATCAAATCATTGTTGCATGACAAATGTAAAGAATTCTTTCCAAATCTGCCTGATCTCTTGAAAACAAGTAGCAAAAAGTTTTGGTCCGTTTTTAAGTCAGTCTCCAAACATTCGAACATACCAAACAAAACGCATACTGCTGCTGACAACCCTGCGGATATTGAAAATGTATTCAATCGTTATTTTTTCTCGGTCTTTCACACTGCCCAATACCAGCCATGATTCACATCGTCACATGAACCAAGAAAACTATAATACCATTGGCACACTTCCGGATATCGTTATTACCCCTGAGGAAGTTTGCGAATGTCTCTGTACACTAGATCAGAATAAAGGATCAGGATCTGACAGAATTCCAGCCACACTTTTGTGACTCTGTGCTTCCAGTGTCTGCTCGTCTCTTTCTGAGCTTTTCAATAAAACATTGTCTGTTGGTAAGTTGCCTAAAGAATGGAAACTGTCCAACATTACGCCAATCCCAAAGAGTGGGTCTTCTAGCAATGCTACCAATTACCGACCTATTTCGCTTCTATCACTTGTATCCAAGGTACTTGAAAGATGTATCTACAACAGACAACATTGGAGAAAAATTACATCATCTGCAGTTTGGTTTCTTGAATGGCAAGTCAGCTACTAGTCAACTCCTACAGGTGTTACACGACATTAGAAACAAACTAGACAACAAGTGTCAAGTTGACACATTGTACTTGGCCAAGGCATTTGACAAAGTAAACCATGAACTGCTGCTTTTGAAATTGAAACGTTTTGGCATCTCCGGTAATATCCTATCTTGGCTACGTGATTATCTTTCTGGTCGCTATCAGAGGGTAACAGTTCTCGGCGAGAGCTCGAATCCTTTACCTGTTTTATCTGGTGTGCCAGACGGTTCGATACTCGGACCACTACTTTTCTTGGTTTATGTAAATGGTCTTCCCGACCGTGTCACAAGTTCTTCATCATTGGCCTGCCTCGTACCCAGGCGCTTTAAATAATTACAATACATGAAGTATTCAGGTAGGCAGGCGACGCGCGAAGGGGCTGTTGGGAAGGGTGCGTGCTGGGGAGCGCCTGGCAGTTCTTGTATATTGTCATGGCGGGAAAACATGGAATTTAATACAAAAAGTTACAATATCGTCATATACTCTGTGTGTAAAACCTTACTTTGTGATGAAGAGTTGAATTGAACGCCATTGGCAAATAATAATAAATTTGTAGATGTTCGATGACATGCAAAGTGCGCGAAAAATTATATGAGTAAATAACATGGCAAGTTAACCGTGCGAATATTTCGAATATGTCATTCAGTATTAATAATAGAATGCTATCAGTTGCTTAGCATAAAACAGTAACAGAGAAATGATTAGAAAATCATATAATTGCTTTTGTATTAATAACTTCTTTAGCTGAAGGCTCGATCAGTCGATCACAATACCAATGGCAATTTCTATTAAATGTATACTATACTGTAAACAAAAGTCCAAGTAAATAAAAGTTCACAGCCGTAAAGTTAGAAATATTTATTACAACAGTGCAATTTTATAGTCTGTACCTTTATATAGTTATAGCTTACAAATCTAGTTCCTGCAAGTCTAGTTCTTCAACGCTTCGGTTGTTGACATGTTAATATTGGAATTTCCATGGACTTTAAATAGGCATATGTCATATATACCAAGAATAACAGCATGAATTCACGCCCAGATGACAGAAGAACATTAACATTAGTCAATTCAACAAAAACAAGTAGCAAAAAATCGTAAACGACAACGAAATAGCACAACTTGCAAGAAATATATTAACATTAGTCAATTCAACAAAAACAAGTAGCAAAAAATCGTAAACGACAACGAAATAGCACAACTTGCAGGAAAATCGACTTTCTTGCAAGAAATCGATCAAGAACTGCCAGGCGTCTCGCAGTTCAAGTGCACTCTTCCCATCAGCCCCTTCGCCATCTCTCCTCACTACAATACTTCATGTAAACTCGTCATATGCGCATCACTGTTTTTTTACAAAGAGACGCCTGGGTACGAGGCAGATCATTGGCAATGTTTGCGGATGACTCTAAATGTTATCATGCATCCATTAAATGTCCTGAGGACGCCAAATTCTTCAGTCTGACTTAAATGCTATTGACCCTTGGTGCAAGGAGTGGCAAATGTCTTTAAATCACTCTAAATGTGGTCTTCTTTGCATTACAAGAAATATTCAACCGATTCATTACTCTTACAACGTGGAAGGTAACTTAATTAAAACAATTAACAAATAAAAAGATCTTGGTGTTATAGTCTCTAAAGACCTCAAGTGGAGCCTTAGTGTCCAAGCGGTCTCAATTAAAGCCAACAAAATGTTGGGGTTTGTGAAAAGATCTATGTCATGCAAACCCTGGAACGAGTTCAGCATCGCGACACGAAGTTTATTTTATCTCTTCCATTTCAAACGGATATTTCATACCCTAAAAGACTTGCTAAGCTCAACATTCTTCCAATTACCTACTGGCATGAATACCTGGATCTTGTTCATCTATTCAAATGTATTTATGAAAATTCCGACAAAACTAAATTCACCAAATTGTGTAACCAGACGCTCTAGCTCTACATCAGGCCTCCTTCTTTAGATTACTAAATCAAAAACAGTAACCTTTCAAAACAGTTTTTATATCGGAGCATGCAGAACGGGGAACACTCTACCAATATCTTTAAGACACTTAACTTTATTGTCTTCGTTTAAACGTTGTCTATTTAATTACTATTTTTTGTTAACTTCTAATGTTTATAACCCAGAATTACCGCACACATACACGACGGTTTGTGTCAAATGTCACAAAGCCCGTCCTTTGGATTCAATCAGTGACACTTTGTGCTGCTAATGCCCTTTCTTTATATTATGTGATGACTTTTGTTGTTTTTTTGTTGTAATGCACTATTTAGTGTTTAACTCTTTGTATACAATATTTTTATGTATTTTACAACTCACGCGGGGAACCCGTTATTGGAGCTTCGACTCTGTGGGTGTGCCCTTCCTGTTTTTGGGTAAATAAAAAAATAAAAATAAATAAATAAACATCTCCAAACGATTCAATAAACGAACTGTGGAAGTCAACTAATAACCATACTAACAATCAATGCGTTAATAACTACAACTCAAATAAGAAGCTTAAAGGGACCGTTTGAAAAGGTTCTTTTTTCGCAATTTTTTCTAAATTCTCCCTATCACAACTTAACGCATCTGGTCTGTATCGCAATCAAAGCTACCGAAGAACATTTTCAACTTTACAATTCACTATATAATTAATACTTTTCCTATCCGAAAGAACCTCAGCTGATGGGGAATTTTATTAAGTTCTGACTGTTCGTTCTGCTTAAAACCCTGAATCATTTCTACATGTTGTTGCCGGTTGTCAACATTACTTGGAACGATTCACTTGGAGACACGATTGCATACTAAAGTTTCTTGCAAATACTTTTCAAAGTTTAAAAAAATTAATTAATTAAAGGAATGCAAATTACTTGTTGGATTTGAAAGCCCCTCGATTATTACGGGAGATGAATTTCGTCCAGATTTACTTCTCTCCACTTCAGACAAACACCTCTACATTGTTGAACTTACCGTAGACTTTGAATCAAACTTCATGCACAAACAATGTTAACCGCAAGAAATCTAAATATAAGAACCTAACTAGAGAACAAAACTTTACATCTGTGAAATTTATAAATCTTTCTGTCAGTTCGCTCGGGGTGTTTGACAAAGAATGCCAAATGCTAAATGATTTAGGACTTGATAATCAACACTAACAATATTGCATCAGAAAAATGATATTTATTGCCATCCGATCAACAGCAACTTATGACATATATTGCTGTAGAAATAAGAATGGACAAATCCCGTACTAGTGGACATTTAAAACTATTTCTATAAATAATTAATATTTTTGTATATAAAATTATAACCATGCATAAGTGATTTAAGTAGTCAATTGTAGGTTACCTCAAGAAGTGAGATTTACAATTGACTGTGTATATCTATAAATGTTCTATTAATAAAGTTTTCATTATTATTATTATTACTATTATTATTATTATTATTATTATTATTATTATTATTATATTATTATTATTATTATTATTTTTAATTGAACGTCCACCAAACATGTTTTCTTAATCTAATCAGCATTTTTCTACGTGTTCTTTTTACTTCATACAATATCGTTGTACAACGTCCAATATACACAAGGACGCACGTCTACAATGCGATGTAACTAACTTTATTGCTATATAATATATATATATATATCTTGCTATATAATAAGTATGATTCGCTGATTACACATACATTCATATTCCTTAAAGCTAAATTTAATAAACTAAATAGGAACAAAAGAAAGAAAAATTGAAAACCATGAAAGTTGTTGTCATCAATTGTCTGTATCTAAATAAATAAAAGGAGAAATATTTATACCAACAAAGCTAAATGGTCTATGAAGATGCCGTAATGTCCGCCGCGGCAGCTACCAAGTCGTTTTACATGTTTGTATCAAAATATAATAATGACCAGAACTTTATTATACGAAATGGTGCCAACTATTTATATATTTGTGTTCCAGAGTAAAATCGATAACTAAGGCTGTACCAGCAGGCATTGGATAAGCATAGAACCTAGCTATGTAGGCCTAACGCCGCTCGTATATCACAAGTTGGAAGCTCCAATGTAAACATGTGCAGAACAGATTGTACTGCATCTTCAAATAATTTATATAATAGACCAATAAGACCGAAATAAAAAAGATCTGTTTCCAACACAATATTCCAATCCTTTAAAATTAATGATTTCGAAGCATTGAATAGAAATTAAATCCTGGCACATTTGTGGCAGACTTTGACAATACTTTGGAAATGTAATTATGTGTGGCAACTTTGGACGTTTCCTGTGCATTGACCGATAAAAGTAAAAAAGCTTGAAGTTCCTTTCTGATATGATATGTCTTAAATTAAATCGTTTCAGCAGCGCTAAACTATCATAACAGGATGATGTTAATTCTGTAGTATGATCATTCCATAACAAGTTCTGTTTAAATTGCATCCCAAGTACTTTTCATGATAAAACTCGTTTCATTTGTTTATCGTTTACAGCTATTTCAAACCAATTTTATTTATCTAACTCATAATTTCTGCATGTCATTTGTTGTGGAGCAAAAAGAACATTAATTTCTAGTTTCTGATAGATTGAAAATTTTATCAGTTAATTTTCCTCAAGGTTTGACTTAGTAACTCATTGACCCACGGCCGCAATGTTGATATAAAGTTGAATCAATTGAAGATTCTTTTCTTCCGTATGAATGTTTTCGTATGAATGTCTTCGAATGAATGTTTTCGTAATTCTCCAATATGATGAGTTTGGAGTTGTGGGAGGATGAAAAACATACGTAATACCCAATTTAGTCTTCTTATTTCATATGGACACAAACATATTTCGAAAGTAACTGTTATTCTTTAATTTGATAAGTCATTACTCATTTTGGAGGTAAATGCAGGACATTTGCGTATCAAACATGATGAAATATCTCACGAAGAAGGCAAAGAAAGTCAAAAAACACAAACTTCAATAAAAAATAGTTTCTTTGTCGTCTTGAAAGTTCTTTTACATACATAAGACAATAAACGTTACCGGCGTTCGTGTCATTTTCACTGGACAAAACGTGAGGTCAGTCACTTTGAAAATTCCTTTACATAGTGTCACTTTCACTGGACAGAGTGGGATGTAGTACATGTAATCTGGAGACTTCCGTTTCAAGGTCTGTGTGGCAACTTAACTTTTCTGAGCATTAATATCTTCTTAAGTTACACAAATACTTACAGTTACGTACTGGATCAATAGCCTAACCGTGCTTAGAAGTTCACCAGCGACATGAAGCAGGTCCATTATGATATGCCCATGAAAGTCTTATAGCTATTCTCGGCTGTCGGTCTATTGTTATTTTCCAGAACGTTTCCGTGAATTTGGCAGTGGTCGTCGTTCAAGCTTGTGAGCAAAACTTTCACGACAAATTGGGCAGCGTGTGCTGTGAAAAAGAAAAAATATTTACCTGTCGTATTTGTAAAAGCATGGCTTACTTCAACAGTATATGGGACTAACTCCAAATTCAAAACTTCAAAATTTAGTTCAATTAAAGACCATGTCAAGTCCGTAATATAAACAAATCCTTTGTTGACATTTTGTACTGTATATTTGTAAAATAAGACATACGCTAACTGAATATCTAACACTTTTCCGGTTCGCTATTGTAAATGAATATATAAACTAGAGTACGTTACAATTCAAAAACGTTTGAAAGATGCAATATTTGGGCAATGCTTATATATCTGTGGGTCCCCTTTGTTATGAGCAGAACTGAATATGCAGAACGGACTTAACATGGTCTTTAAGAATTAGTTTATTAGACCTAACAAGAAACTACGGTGGCCCGTTAGGAACACGCTTGTTCCGTAGAAAATCACATTCGTTCTGTGTACTTGAAGTAGTTTTACTTAATAACAGAGCGTTTCTGTATAAATGTGCGGCGTTTCCGTAGAAAATTCAGACGACTTCCGCAGAAATATAGACGCTTTCCGTACAAATGTAGACTTCTTCCGTACAAATGTAGATGCCTTCCATAGAAATTTTATGCATGCCTTCCATACAAATGTACACGCCTTCCGTAGAAATCTAAAACTAATGCGCGCGCATACTCTGGTAACTATGGTAACTTCATTTGCTATATTATGCAAAATGGCGGCATGTAAACAGTGTACACAAATAAAATATGCATATATTACTGGAAATCTGCAGTGCATTCCTGAGAGTTCCTATGCATTATATAATATGTGGACAGCTATAAACAATATGGAGTGACTCCTTTGCTGAGAATATAACATTGCTTGAATATTAATTGCATAATCGCATTACGTCTTGTTTGTTAAGTTTATGCATATTCGGCGTGTACCAAGCTAGTATAAAACGTTCAGGTTGAATATTTTTACTGATGTTTCTCCAAGTACGTGTATCCACACAGGAAGAAGCTGCCGTCGTACCTCAGTTGGTATAGCGTTTTGCTTATATTTTATCCCTGAACCAACGGCGCGGAGTCCCTTCCGGGCAAAAGCCCGGTACGAGGGTATTGATTCCGCCCGGCTATTTACACCCGGGGAAAGGAAAGCATTAATGATGTCTAAAGTTCATCAATAATCGCGGGCGCATGATGTATGGGTGGTCATCTCACAAATCTCAAAATATGGCTGTTTACCAGTTGTGAAGGAAGCAAAAACATGTAAGAAAGCTTGGAAAATTGTTTCACATAACAAATTGTAAACTTTTTTTCAATTTATAAACGTAAACATCAAGAATTGATTTAGTATGAGAAATCCTAAAGTATAGAGCAAATTTGCTTCAATTGGTTATGTTTGACTTTGTATTTTTAAATGTTATAGACTTTTTCTTTGTTCTTGTTGTTCAAAGTCTTTCCTATGCATTGTATGCAAAAGTTTCTTAGTTAAATTAACTTTTGTAGAAGTTAATGATGAAATGGAAAGCAAATTATTTTCATTAACGTCCTGTATGAATTAAATTTATTTCATTTCAAATTGCGATCGAGTAATAAGTTGAAAGCTCGAGAAGAAGATTTATCGGCAAAAAGCAGTTAACTTCAATTCACATTTAAAAACGTTTCACGAAAAGTTTTGTGTTGAATTTTACATTCAACATAAAGCCGATAGAAAGCAAAATATTATACCTACTTAATATATATTTTAGAAATTGATAGTTCTGTATTTAATTTAAAAGTGTTCAAGTTTACTATATTTTTTTACAGTTTTGTACAAAAAATAAAAAAACAATTATCGTGTTAATTGCCATGACTAACATGACGTGAACAACGCGAGCCATCGTTCAGTGTTGACGTAATTACGAATACTTCATGTTGAAACGGTGCTTGGAAAATATAGGCTAGCGGTTGTTGCATGCATGTATTCCTAAAACTCTGAGGATGTTTACACAAGGGACCAACCTCGTCACTCAGGTGGTAGAGAGGTTTATTGGACATGGACGACAAAGGTTGCGGTTCGATTCCCACTGCGCGCGGTCAAGCAATTTGTCAGCTTGTCTAGCCTGCGAACAGGCTCTCAAGCTGAATTGAGAGGCTGCATCGATGACTAATGAATTTGAATATCTGCGTCTCAAATCGTGACGCAAATTCTCATTGGTCAGCTGCTGAAGCACTATGCATAAAAACACATTAACTGATTAAATTGGTCTTGGCCGTCTTATCTCAAAGCACGAAATGTTCTGTTTTGAGAAAACAGTATTTAAAACATTTGAACTTTTGCTTGAATATCTTATACTTCGAAAAACAGTATAAACTGTACGGTCTAAATTTAGTTTGCACAGTCTAAATTTAGTTTGCACGAAAGTTGTAAACAACACCATATAAGGATAGACATTCCATATTTGGAAAAACGAACGTTACGGGGCAGATATTCAAATTTATTAGTCATCGATGCAAGCTCACAATCCAGCTTGAGAGGCTGTTCGCAGGCTACAGCTTGTCCGGTGTGGAGACACTCGGAGTATAACCAGCAATGAAAATATCTTGCAATATAAACAAAAAGAAACATTGAGGCATATTGGAAATAGGTCTTGAAAACGAAGTACAGTAACTACGGCTTTTCATATGCACTATATTTTTCAATTCAGTTAATAACTTTAAATGCGTTAGGCTATAATTACGGTTTTCTATGCATGTTTTAAGCTTGCGCAAACTCCCTACATGATTCGATATATTAATTATAAATATTGTTTCACCGGAAGAAATCCCTGGGTGGTTTGACTAAAATCTTGAGCAATTACTGAAAATCACCAGCAAGTTTTGCTTTACACTATACGAGCACTTGCGGTGAGCCACGTTTCACGTCACCACGCTTGCCTTTCAAGCTGGGAAAGCAGGGTTCACTCCTTGTTCGGACTTGTAGTAAAGGTCTTAAAATAATTGAGGAGGAAGAACTACCTTTGCGTTGACATCAGTAAATGGCTAGAATTTCGCGTCTTCTCAGACAAGGAAGTTAAGTCGTATGGATACCTCCAATGCCCTATCAATTGCTGAACTGGGCAATAGCATGTTGAAAAATCCGCTCGCCAATGAGTAGGAAACTCAACAAATTAAACTAACTTTACAAACAAATTAGTAGAAAACAACTCCTTAACAGTTTTTCTGATGGTGTATGTTTTCTCGGAATTAGAAGAACATGCTATTCTGAAGATTATTAACAATAAAAAATGTGCTCCTTATTTTACACCCCCTGTATAATTATAATGTTTATAATGTTTATACAGTAAAACTGCCAGTGCAGCTTTTTAATAATTGTTGACCTAATTATATTATTTTGAGAATCTCGCTTCAATTTCGCTTGCACAGATTTTGCTACTGGATGGATTTTTGCAAGCAGGGTAATTTTTGCTCCTCTTAATTGTAGTCCCTCTAGCTTTATGATTGAAATATGGTAAGCATTTGAATCTGCCTGTATCTGTCAGTAGTGGAAAGGTTCTGATTATAGCGTGTCAGGTTAATGAATTCCTTTGAAAAGAACAAAGTCAAGTGAAACAAAAGACTTGTGGGAATCATTTATCAGCGAATTGCAGCTGGGTTTAATTAGTTCAAGTGCCTCAATCCTGAGGGCCGGTTATTTGAGGGAATAGACTGCACCTCGCCCGCGAACTCAGTACCGTCCACTCTCTCAAAACATGCACTAATTTTATCCTTTTATAATGATTTTATCCTTTCCTACTGAAAGGACTTGCCTCTCCTCACACGTGCACAGGGCGAAAAAACAGATTTGCACTAGGCTTTGCAACCCGGTGCAAAGGTGCCATTGCCGTAATCGCATCAAATTTGCAAGGTTGCAAATATTTTGGCAAATTTAGAAACCAAATTATGGACGAAAATACCCACAAATTCACGTGTGCAAATGAAAGGTAATTTGAGCCAAATTTATCCTATACCCATTCCCTCTCAAAAAAGAGAATTCTATTTACCAATATCAGGGTAAAAATTTATTTACCAATTTGCTTTCCAAATTTGAACAAAATTTGCACAATAGCAAATTTGATGCGATTACGGCAATGGCACCTTTGCAGGGGGTTGCAAAGTTGGAGCAAATCTATTTTTTCGTCCTGTGGTGGGTACACGAATTCACAAAAGTTATCAATACTTCCTACAACTGTACGGTGTAATCGCTTTTAATATCTCCAAATTATAAAAGTACAAGTACTCACATTCCACTCCGTATCATTTGAGTTGCACATTCTTTGTGGACTTTGTGAGAACAGGGAAGGATTTGACATCCAGTGAAGGCATCCTGCACGAAAAGAAATTAAAATCCGTTTTATGATCCGAGTTAATGCCGAGAGCATATTAAATTCTATTTCCACATAAACCTTATTGTAGTGATTCGTAACGTATGTCATTATTTCGTAAGCACCAATGTAACTACAGACATTGGCACAACAAATGCTATAGGTTCATTGAGTGGAGAACAACCTCTATGCCATTTCACGTCAATTAGCAGAATAAATTCAACTTAGTTGTCCAGAAATTTGATACAAGAGCTCGAATTGATACACTACCTCCAAACAAATGCAACATTCATCATGGGCAGAGTCTTCACGACATTTGTGATTTCCACGAAGTTGGACATCCAAACAAACTCCACAGACATCACAATGAAACGAGCGATCTCCATGAATTCTAAATTAAAATAATATATTTCACAGAATTTGTTTCTACTGCCGGGGAAGCTCCATCTGTTTTTTTTACTGTGGGGTTTTCTGGAGTTCCAGTAAGGCGCATCTCTCATTAGCAAATGGTTTCAAGTTCTAAATGCTTATCAATTAAAGAAGAATATCTGATCATTATCATTTTTGGTAAGTATAGTAAGCAAATGCACTATTTTCTTACATTCCAAAATTTTCTGTAATATTCCCTTAAAACAAAAAAACTGTAATCTTTTGCTTTGTTATTGTGAAGAAGTATTTCCCGTAAGAGAATAAGTTCGTTTTGTTGTCACCCAAAGAGAAAAGGAAACCAAAAACTTAAACCACTCCCTCTAATGCAACTGATGATGAACAGAGGCGTAGCCATGCACGATTTTTGGCTAAGCAGGGCCAGGAAAAAGCAAAAGGGTGGCGTGGGGGGCACAGTTTGACTAAATGAAAAAGTGGATACTAAAGGGAGGAAGGTGGAGTACTAAATGGGGAAGAGGCAAGTATTAAAGGGGGGGGGGGGGAGAAGCAAGTCGAAGTTTCGCGGACAACACAGTGCTAGACAGTTTGGCTAGGTTGGATGCCTTTTCAACATGTTTCAGCTTTCATATATAAGACAGCATTAAAACCACTCTTCAATTAATTAAACCATGCAAACACTAGCTGAAATGTTGCTTCTTATGACTCATTCTATTCGTCGAAACGTTACTACAACTTATCCTTCGACGTCAATTTCTGATATTCATTTTACTGGAAACTGTTTTAATCTACATGACTATGTTTAAAACATTAAAAAATAATAAACTTTAAATCCAATATAACAATTTATTATATCAGTGTTTCAAAGTTGTATCAGTGTTTGTTCAGGCTACGCCTGATCTGATTATGAGGCAAATTTATGGTGAGAGTGAGACAACTAGATATTGCATCATTTAAACAATTGTTTCCCAAAGGTAGAAAGGAGATGCATTAACCACAATGTAATCGACAATCTTATTTGTTTATTTATTGTGAATCTTCCATGACATGCACTTATTTATGGCTTGCGTAAGACAATGCCGTGTTATGAAAGCTAACTAAACCATACCTGCAGATTCCACATTTTTCACAATGATAAGGATTATCATCTTTGCCAGTTAAATGTTTGCACAATCCACAGTAATACTCGGAAAATGTTGCACCACAATCGCAGCAAGAACTACCAAACTAATAACAAAAAAATTAGCACAGATATTCAAATTTATAGACTATATCCGTTCAACTAACAAATGTGACTGATTCGCGCAAATGACTGATATTAAACTTAAAACTACGACGAAAGTGTGACACATAGAAGACACAAGAATGAAATCAGCGCAAGTATGCATGCCTTAGCTTAGACATTATTTTTACATCATGAATTTTGAGTTACCTGTTGCACTTTGTTACAATATACACACTTCAGCATCTTCGTGTAACGGGATTTAAGTTTCTTTCGGCCACACGTGCTTTGGTTGTTATGACAGCGATGACACGGCCAAAAGTTGTTGCAACATTCAAATTTGACGTAACAATGTCGTTTGTAGTGACTACATAACCAATTATCTTCTCGGTCTGGGTACTGGGTCCGAAAACCGCCAGGGGGTTGGAAATTAGAAATATTGCTTCGTTCTGTTTCTGGACGTTGGAATTTGGAATGTTTTGAACCATTGCTTCCGACTGCCTGAGAATTTCGTGGGTTGCTTGTCGCTGATGGATTTGTTATTGTCAAAGAATTTCCTGCTATTGTTCTTCTTTCGCCTGTTTTTCAAACGATACAAATAACTTATTTGAAACAGTCATTTTACTCTTATTGTTCATTACACTGCAAGTATTTTTGACAGTAACGTTTCGTTTTAACTGAAGACATCATCAGATTAACAGTAAAATTACAGCGAAATGGATGATGAATAAATTTAGGTTACTATATTGCAAGGTATGAAATTATACACACAGGAACGGAAATGAATGATGCCTTGAGTTAAGAAGACACATCACTGCATGACAATAAAACTTTTCTGTATATATTTTTGCCTATGGCTCTATTTAAAGTATTATGCTGGGCTCTTACTTTCATCTTAAGAATGCTTTCTCCGGCCGGAAAATCGCTCGTGAATAGCGTTATCTGTTCTAGTCAGTTTTCTGCCAGTGTAGCGGTAAGGACGAGTCTTTATGTGACCTTTCCAGACCCTTACCTTTTAACTGAGACCCTTCCAGAAAGTAACTCAAATCGGCCATAAGGCTCGTTATTATGATTGAGATGTTTGGCTTTAACTCATATCACAAACACCAAAACGAGATTCTATCGCCAAAGTACATTCCGGAAAACAATGCGTCTTTTGTATAGTATACATTCCATGAAAGTTACTAATACTCCTAGAAGGCACACTGGAATTTTACAATGATCCAATATGAATGTCGAAATGAGGTTTCGTTGCGCAAAGATCAAAATCCAATAGACGCATAAGGGTTGGAACATTCACAGTACATGAAATAGCTTCCATTGTGCTTCTCACGCTTAGAAAGAGAAATAGTCCGGTTACAATTTTGGATCTTTGAAGGAAAAGCTTGATTAAATCATAGTCAATATGATTGCTATATGTTCACTGACCTATGTGACATGTACTCATTTTTTGAAATCCCGTTTGTCAAAAATATCAAGAAACACTTACTTGTAACACTAGAGCTATCAGCAACGACCATATGAGCCATTCTATTTGGACTAACTGCAGTTGTAGCAGGTTGTAGGTTTTGCTGCTCAGAGGCTGTGGACTGGTTATCGTTCGGAGACCTAGAGAAATGTGTTGGATTGACTGTATCTGACGAATTTCGGAAAGCTGTCAGTTGTGTTTGTTGAGGGAAAGATCTTTGTATTACATTGCCGTTTCCTGGTTTCCTTAAAGTTACTACTTTTCTGCCTGGACTGGTTTGTAATGTATCACTAGCAGCTGGATTGGCCAAAGCTTGACGACCAGTGTTCATAGCATTGAACATACTTTGATACATTGGGGTGGAACGATACTGGGAGGTTCGGGCTGCATTTGCTGCTTGTTGTTTAGGTGGTTTATTTTGGCGAAGTAAACTATAATCGCCAAGGTGAAATGCGTCGATAATATGCACAAGATCAATTCTGACAATAGATTCAAAGAAACGAGAAAGTTGACTTAAATCTGAAGCATTAATGACTGCTTTTTGATCAAGTTGGAGGAGGATATCGGTAGCATTCTGTGGGTTGTTGATTGAGAAATTCTGACTTGCCCAGTTCTTCAGTTTCACGACGTCACATGAAAGAAGTCTTTGACCAAGGGATAGTAACATGAGCTTGTATCTGTTGTACAAGGTTGTTGCCACAGATGTAGGTGGTACATTACCAAGGGATATGCACTCCGTTCCAGAATCGTCTTGCTGGACGGAAAGTGATAAATTTTCATAGCCTTTCCGAGATATCGATGCCAAAGCCCTGGTTTCCTGGAATTGTTCTGATTGATATTTTCCCTCTCTGCCACTTGTCTTCTCTCTCGCTGTATTACTCGATGTGTTTTGCGTTAATGGTGTTTGATTTTCATTCCTATCCTTGTGAATTTCGCTTACGTTTGTGAGCATCACATCTCTTCCAGGTTGATGATTACTGCGTTGCACCAAAGCCTCTGCCCCCTCGACATGCTGTTCAGTTGAATTAGCTGGATAGATAACTGATGGTTTATCAGCGTTTTCATTTGTAGTTTGAGATTTTAGAAACCGTTTTAGAGAGCCATTCATATCATTAATTGGCCTGTGTTTATTGGTAGGCAATGTAGTAGCTTCGGACGACGGGGGACGAAATATTTCCTGAAAGAGTTCAGATCTTCTTTCTTCGTTTTCCTTTGCAGTTTTCTGAACAGCGATTTGCCCAAGCTCAGCTAAAATATCTTGGTTTTTAGCTTGTAATGATTTCATTTGACTTTTAAGGGAAAGGTTTTCGTCTTCCAAGTCTTTCACCCTCAGAGATATCATCATGGCTGGCGACTTCGCAAATTGAAAGGAATTCTTTAATTTCAACGCTTTTTCTTCTAACGTCTTCTCAGATTTTTTCTTTTTTTCTGTACGGGAATATTTAAGATAGCCGTCAATTCCTTTGCTTTGTTTTTCTTTGTTAAATTCTGGAAATACAGAATATACCATATCCGAATCTTTGGATATTTTGCGTCCAAGTTTCTCGTTTCTTTTATCTTTGTTACGTAATTGACCGATTGAAGAGTCTTCATCTGAACTTACGAAATCTTTCCTTTGTGTGGGTATTTTATCAAAATCTTTCTTTACCAAATCATTTTCAAATTCCGTGGGTGCATTTCCTACGTTGTTGTGATTGCTAGCTTGGGGGATTTCAAAATTCTTCTGGTTTCCTTTAAGATTTGGTGAGAGAGGAGACAATTTTTCATTGACTAAATCTAATTTAGAAGCTTCTTCCCAAATATTGGTCGGTTTAGAATTTAAATGAACGTCGTTGCCCAATTCTCCATTTCCAGAATTTGAACTTTCCTGATCACAATCTAGAAAACTCTCACTTTCCTTATCGTCGTGGGAACACTTATTAATTAAAAAGGAACGTAAAATGTCGAGAAAATTATCGATTTTATCTGGTGTTAAAAGTTCGTTATGAGCACTTTTTCCGCGATCAAACAACAGTTTCAACGGCTTGGCAGTTTCCTCGCTTCGACTCTTGAGATAGTTCTCAAACAGATCTAACGAATTCAAAGTTTCTACAAATACAGCTTTTGTCTCAGAAGTAGAATTCAATAGTTCTGAACTCGATTGTTGATCGGTCACATTTGATGATTCTGTGCATGTTGATTCAATGTTCTCCTCACTCTTGGGTACGGTATCTGGATCAATACCAAAAATCGCAATTGCATGGGATATATAATACTTAACTGTTTCCTTTAATAGAATAGCAACAAGTGGGAGCAATGTAACAGACCTCATCGGCATATCACGAAAACCTGAAAAACAGCAGGGACAAGTTTGGTTAATAGTTCATTTCAATTCATGTTTTTGTTTTAGTTATTGTCCCCTCGCTCTCATGTGGCGATGGCCTTGCGCGGATGAGGGTGGGAATCTGGAATAAATAAGATTGAGCGCATTTTAAGAGTTGTATGGGAGACTCATTGAACACATTTTTTATATTTGGTGCTTGTTACCAATCGACACAATAGAAATGCAACAAATATTTCCCAAAAAAGGTTGAGTGAAGAGTAATAACGGTATCCATTTAACCCAACATTTGTCATAAAAAATAAATTTTGTTAGCGATTTTTACACCCGCTTTTTTCCTTCGTACAAATTATGCATTCGAATTTATTTCCATTAATTAAGATTTTGACGGATGGAATTTAATGAAAACCAAACTGTGCAATGGAACAAAAAGTATCAATTATTTGCTGGTGAAAGGAAAGCATTAGCGAAGTCTAAATTTTATCAATAATCGCAGGCGTGTGGCTATTGCTCATCGCGTCATGGGTGGACCTCCTTACTGATCTAAAAAATTTGGCTGTTTGCCAGGAGTGCATATCATGGATAAGCAAGATTTCAATTTTCAAAGACATATATTCGGAAAATCGTTTCATACAATGAGCTTTCAAGCAATTTTGCTTTGAAGAAATAAGAAGAATGGATTTGCTATGGGACATCGTGAAATATAGGGCAAGTTTGTTTTGAATGTTATAAAGTTTATGAGTTTTGTTGTTTTAACTTTTTTGCTTCCTTTTCAAGTTTCCCAAAATTAGCCTGCAAAGCAAATTTCAGCGCCGAACTGAAATTACTCAAAAATTTGAACTTACAGCTTATCACCAAAAGCACTCAACTAGTGAATGAACATTTCAAAACTACTTACGAAGCGTTTCAGATTAAATTTTACATTAAATCATAGTTCGCAAAATGCAAAATAGCATAATTAAAAGCAGTATATATTTCGGAAATTCATTGTTATATAGACTATTTTTTTTACTAAACTATTTTTGCTATTTTATCAAAATTTAAAAAATAATCGTGTCCTATGGGCTATGGTAACACCAATCAAACACCAAACATGTTTTACCAAACATTTTTACTTGAATTTTGTCTATAACACGTTTTTGAGAGCGCTCCAAAATAATGCCGATGTCAGCAATCTTCTCAAGCCGAATTAAATTATAATTAATCGTTTGAATTCAATATTTTGGGGGAATATTTGTAGTAATGACATGCAAAACATATAAAACGCCCAGCAACCCAAGATTTGTGTGATATTCATCCAGGATTTCAATTTTCCCCCAGTACCGCGCACCCAAATTACACCCTCGATGCCCCCTCTAGTGTTATTTATAATCTCTATGACTATGGTCAACACAGTGGGTCAACACCGGTCATTTGACGCGAAGATAATTTTTTTAATTTCATCCAACATGGCGGACGATATGTAGATTTACGGTAATTCATCGTGCTCGATTACTCAAATTAAAAGCAAATGTTGCACTCAGTGGTTTCTTCGTGTAATGGTGCAATATTCTACTGATACTGAACCAAAAGACGTTGTTTTAAATATTTTTAACATGCAAGTTGTAGTGTTGTACAATTTAAAGATGTTGTAAAGTCCGTAATTTAAACGAACGCTTTGTTTACATTTTGAACTGCTATATTTGTAAAATATGATACAGCAACGGAATATCTTTCTGGAACACTTTTCTGGTTCGACATGCTTCTAAATGAGTATAAACTCTACGCCGTTTCAATTTAAAAAAGTTCGAAAGATGCAAAATTTGGGCAATGTTTATACCTGCTGGGCCCCTTTTGTTATGATGCAATTTTGACCTCCACTAAGCCGGTTTCTTTGACCTATAATCCGTCGAATAAACGAGTTTCAGAAGTGATTCCACTAAGCAATGAGTTAACCCAGTCAGATTAGCATTATATTTAACAAATATAAAACATTTTCTGTGTTGATATACAGTGAGTTAGGGGCCGACCATTTAACTTTTGAGGGGGGGAGGGGTGATTTTGAAAAAAAATTTCCTGCAAGGCTATTCTGGACAAAAAAAATACCTGCACTAACAAACTGGGGAAAAAATATCCTGCCCCAGTAAATTATGCATATTTTTGTTAATTGTAAATTGCGTCTTCATTTTCCGAATAGCAAACACCTTCATGGCTAATAGTATGCCATGATATATTCGGAAATTATTTTCGTCATTCGAAAATTTTTGGCCTACACCCCCCCCCCCCCCCCCCCCCCC